AGTACCGAGATTTTCTGTTTCAATTTGTATTATCATTTCCTATTGTAATTTATGTAAAAAATGACTCAAATTTTCTTACTATTATTTAGGTGAATAATCACCCAAGTTTTGATGTTTTACTGTTGGACAGTTGCATATCAACTTCTGTTCTTCCGTATTATTTACCTAGACATAATTTTGAAACTAGACTCACTAGAGAAAAACAAAGATTTCGGGGCTTGTCCATGGCATCTTCGCTGCTAATAATCCAGTATGTTAAATTTTCATATGAATTTAGCAACAGTCAAAATAAATTAATCGAAGAAATATGACAAATTTGCACTTGTGATGTGTATAGGGTTTACAAACGAAATCATAATCTTATTTATATTTGTGCACCCCCTCAATGGATGGCCGGAATTTATTGAATCGTACAATTGGAAGTAATTTTGTAGATCACTACAAAAGTATTTTGGTACCTTCTTGTAGCTAATTGCAATAGGGAGGTTTCTAAAAACTTTACAGAAAATTATCTGATTTATCTATCTAAATTTTGTTGTAGAAAATCTGCTTGAAATGAATTTGCCGAGGCGAATTGTCCCTGTCCTTAAGACAAAATTTCCCCGCAATGGTGCTAACGATTTGAACGAAAATCGTCTCCCAAGATACAACGACAAAAACTTGGAATAGCATTCCAAATTCCAAGCACGACGGACTGTACTTTGTGTAGAACTTTTCGAGAGAATTTGGAAATGGTAGGCTAGAAATGCAGAAAGATGAAAAGGATTTCGGATGGAAGTGAGGAATTATGGGAAAAAGAGGGTCTATTTATAAGATTTGAAAAGTAGTATCCTCTGAAGCAAAATGTACAAAAACCCACCGGTTCGCCCTAAACTTGCGTTGTTTTGGCTAACGAGCCGTTGGGGCCGAATCGATTGCACCATTTCGAGTTGAGCTGATTGGGTTGCATTGGTGCTGCTGAACCAATGCAAAACCAATTGGATCGCTTGAGATGGGCTTTGGATAAGGAGAATCTAATGTGTTGTCAGTCCATGTCCTAAGGTTTTTTAGCCCAAAAATAAATATAGTGATTTGGGCTCAAACCCAAATCTGATCCAAACGGTCGAGTTGAGCCGGCTGGTCGGCGACGCGGGCATGATTCAAAACTTATAACATATATCATTTCTTCTAAACATAGTTGTATGTCCAAGGACCCGACACTTAGCTCCAACATTGTGCTATATCAATAGCTCAAAACTTCACTAATTTTCCAATGTGGGATAGCTCAAAATTCCACTTTCCTTGTTTCAACATATCTGGACTAATATTTTCATTCATCACAAAGTGGTTTATATATATTAATCTAATCCAAATGTTGATTTAAATAATGAAATAGACTATACATTAATTAAAAGTTGTTCATGATTTAACTTTTAACCAATTTTTCCAATAAATTTTGTATTTGTGTAGGCTTAATTGTTCAAGAAATGATTAAACCTTAGTTGTTATTTTAATAGATTATCAGTAATTTTATTAGCTTAATGAGATATAAAATATAGATTATGGATAAAATTAAATAACAGAAAGACCATTTTTTTTGTAATTACCAATGGATTCAAAGAAATACTATTTTCCCAAAATTAAAGGCTATTTAATATATTTTGTAATTCGCGTGACAACCTTAAAAGTCACTTGATATGAAACGAACGTAATACATTTGCAAGACATGATTTATTTCGAAAGATAAAATTTATATTGCAGGCACACTGCCGAAAAAATACCTACTTTGATTGTGTATAAATTAGATTATATTCAAATTATTAGTCTTAATTATACCTAAATTAAATAAAAACAACAAAATCATCAACTACTTCTCAACGTTAATTACTTTAATTAACAAATAATTAGATCAAATCAACAAATCTTGAAACAGCACCAACTGAATCTTCCTGCACATTTAAAAACATAAAAGTCAACCAAATGCCAACTTGTTGTCTTCTTCAATAATCTTTTGACTTTTCATTATATATTCATATTTCTAATGTTTCCTTTATGGAGTGGGCATTTGATGGAAGTTGACTTTTCAGATTTTGTCAATGGCCTGCAACCACAACTTGCCAACATTATTTTTTTGAATTTACTTTCTTTTTTTATTTTTATTTTTAATTCCAAATAACCATGTCTAATTATATGTTGGTTGTTAATTATTAGAAACTTTAAATTTTGGGTTAAAAATAATATAATTTTCGCTTTTATTGTCGAGTGGGAGGTTTAAAAATATATGAATTAACCAATGGTAACATTTTCCATTTTTTAAATAATATTGCCTACGGTAATAAATCATAATTATCTCTCTCTCCCCTTCTAGTGACAAAATAATAATAATTATTATTATTAGTGTTTTTTATAATAATAATAATATTATTATTTATAATAAAGTGCTAAACACGCATGCCATTGACAAACCCACTTGCATTTGTTGCAATTGACATCATATTCAACTGATGCATTAAGCACGTATGATGATATTCCCACTTTATATTTATATATATTTATATTTATATAACATTATATATATTCTTCAATGTATTTGGCATATTCACCCTTTTTTTCCATTATAACACAAAGTCAATGAGTATTATTTATTTTCCACAAACCGTATAAAAAATGAATAAATAAAGGGTCAAAAGTTTCCAACTTTAATACTTTGAAAAATTAGGGCGCATAAATTATGTTCTATGTGAAATAGAGTGTTAATACACTTGTATTCAATTAAGATTTGTCAACTTTCTAGAAAGCTTATGCGTGAAATATACTTTAATGTTGGATCCAATGCACTTTAATTTTAATTTCTACTTGCTCACAACTCTTTCGAAAAAAGAAAATTCTTCGCGTTCAAAATCACGAGTTTTAAAAATTTACTTTCTTTAATTAAGGAATCTGCAATCAATCATATATGTGTTATGTATAAACTTACACTATCGTATAATAACTTGCAAATTATACGAGAAACGTAAATCAGATTAGACAGGTTAACCGTGTGTGACAAGTTCGACCTAACGACCGTAGACAAAATGATTCGAACTTTGGTCAACTGGCACAAACTGACTTGCTCCAAATCACTAGGTCATTCTTGCGGGACGATATATTTAATTATTGAATTAATATGACACGTATGTTGGTTATGAATATTTTTACAATTTAAAAATAGTACATAAAATTTTATTGAAAATTTTGTACTAATAGTCTCTATAAACAAGATCAACTTTCAAAGGCCTAGAATCCGAACCGAGTCACGGGCCGGTCAGTCAATTGACATGGTCCAGTCAAACTACCCACGTTTTCTCTTTTTCATTATTTTTAATTACTTTTATTTTTATTTTAAATTGTTAATTATGTTTTTATTTTACTTTAAAATTTTAAATAGTTTAACCCGGCTAATTAGATTGACAAAATCAGTACCGCAGTCCACGTGGCAACATTTCACCGGTGGTACGACATCGTATTCTCGAGATAGCACATAAAGTCGTGGTCAACAGACTGATAGCATCCTAGACCGTAGATGGAACAATCGGTTAATCTGACGGCTCAGACATAATCACCGGCTAGTGCAGGTTTAGCAAAAGTTGGTCAACCATTTCCCATGTGATTTTCCCATTTTCTAGTCAGCCTTTTTTTATTTATTAATTATCCCTCTTTATTATTATTTTAATAATTGTCAAATTATCGTGATTCTTTCTCGCTTAAATATCGTGGTTGAAAGCATAACAATTATTAATTACTAAAATGTCCCATTTCTTCACCAATACTTTTGTTAAATTACAGATAGACCACTTAACTTTTACCATACTTCATTTTACTATAGAAATTTCCTAAAATAACAATTAACCACGATTCGTTGTTCGTAGTTCGCCCTAAAAGTATTTAGTGACATTTACTAATATATCTAAGTATATCTTCAAATATTTATTCAAATATTTGAGATAACGATAATGATCTTATCAAATATTTAAGTGTTTAATATGTCAACTTTGATCATTTATGAAATATTCCTCTTAATGCCGCATGCTTGTTTATATTCTCAATAACAATACTACAACTTCGACTCAATAATAGTATATTTCACGGCATATAGTATTTAATGGGTTAATAAATGCTTTCAATAATATAATCTAATCTAAATTTCTATTAGGACCATCTTTGTGAATCATCAATTTTGGTAATTTTATAAACTAAAATAAAATATTGAACATTCATCCAATTAGTGAATGCATAAATTCGAACTCGATGGTTAAACTCTACTACAACGACGCCTAATACAATACATACTGTAATATTTTACAAAATGCAAAAGCAATATACTTTTTGGAGATTACGAGGCAAAACTATTCGTCTGGTAGAATTTGAAAGAACTCACGCTAATTGCATGACAAAAAACTAATTGTATAGATAAACACAACACAATCACGAGGAATGCGCATAAAATAATATAATAACAAATAAAAACAAATATTGTTATGCCATAATAAATCTTTTCCCAAATAGTATTTGAAATAAATATCTATTATTTGATTATACACCTCCTAACCAATATTGTGGCATGAAATATTAAAATTAATTCTTCTACAATTAAAAAAACAATAAATTCATTTACCTTCTTCCACCAAACGGCAATTTGCATTATTTTTTTATTTTGAGAAAAAACAATTTATTATTATTGAAGCGGAAAAAAGTAAAATCTCAATTGGGATTAGAATAAACCAATTTTCCAATTATAATCTTCATAAAATTGAATTGAAGCCCATTAATTGCTACAGCTAGGACAAACCAATCCCTACTTCGTCTTCTTCTCACCAACTCTTCTCCCTTTACGAGAAATACAATCATTGCGCACTTTACCATTATACTGATTTTCACCCCTCAAGAAATCAATATTCTCAAAGCTACCCCAAACAAAAACACGACCATAACTGTACATCGCGCTCGGTGAGTTGTACGCATGTACTGGAGGAAGCAGAAACGGACTGGCAATATCAATTTTCCCCTTAGTGGGTCCCACCACTTTCAAACAGAAAATAGGGCCAGTGTTTTGTCTCTTTACCCACCACATTGAAATTTTCAATAACAAAATCTCAGCCGTTGGATTGAAATCCGAACTTTGACTTGTTACCGGTTCACCCGGTCACCTTCTCCTCCAATATATTCCCCACCTTCCCTCTTCCCACATTTCATTCACATCTCCACCATTTTCTCTCTCTAAAACATTTCTGCACTAAGAGAGAGAAAGAAAAAACAGAAAATAAATAAATCAAGTTATTCGCCGGAAAAAATGGCCGTGGAATTGCTCGGCTACGGGAATCTGAACGAGCAAATGGCGATCCAGGAAGCTGCTTCGGCCGGTTTAAAATCAATGGAGCATTTAATATTTGCCGTATCTCACCAGCAGCAGCAGCAGCAGTACCGGAATCAGCAGATTGACTGCAGAGAAATTACTGATTTCACCGTTTCCAAGTTCAGGAAAGTGATTTCTATTCTGGACCGGACCGGCCATGCCCGGTTCAGACGTGGTCCGGTTCAGCCGCAGACGACGGCGTTGGTTGCTGTTCAGCCTCAGCTAGAAACGCAGAAGCCTGCTGCTCCTCCTACAATTTACAAGCCGAAGCCTCTGAGCCTGTTCTCTCTTTCTCCCGCCTCGCCGGAGCCGGCCGCGGCGCTGCCGCTGACGCTTGATTTTACCAAACCTGGCAAGTGTTTATCGGCGGCGATGTCGACTTCCGGTAACTCGTCTTCGACCTTTTTGTCGTCAATTACTGGTGAAGGCAGCGTTTCGAACGGGAAGGGTGGATCTCCGTCAATGTTTCTGACGCCGTCTGTTGCGGCGGTCTCCGCCGGTAAGCCGCCTCTCTCCGGGAAGAGGTGCCGGGAGCACGACCATTCCGATAACTTATCCGGCAAGACCTCGGGTTCTAGCCGGTGCCACTGCAAAAAGAGGTACGCTATTCGACCTGATTATTAAGTATTAATTATTAATAATTAATTCGTAAAACAAAGATTAATTATAATTTTCCGTTGTATTTAAATTGCTTCATTCATTTAATAGATAATAATTATTATCAAAAGCTATAATAAAAATAAAATTAAAAAATCGGAGCATTGTTCATCCGGCGCAAAATAGCTGGCCCATCCGGCGCAAAATAGCGCCGGGGCAGTCATTGACAGCGACTCTGTCTTCTGTCAAAGCGTGTTTGTTTGACGTCGACCGCCGTAGTTCTTACGGCACGCCGTGATTAGTCAAATTACCGTTTTAGCCCTTTTGTGCTTTCGTTTTTACATGATATATAAGATCTAACGGACTGGATTAATTCTGCAGGAAATCGAGGGTGAAGAACACAATTAGGGTTCCGGCAATTAGCTCAAAAGTTGCGGATATTCCGTCCGACGAGTATTCATGGAGGAAGTACGGCCAGAAGCCAATCAAGGGCTCACCATACCCACGGTAACCACCGTGCACCTCTCTTCAACTGGATTTTGCATTAATTTGTATTTAATTTTGTTTATTAAATATATTTCCTCCGATTTTTCAGGGGCTACTACAAATGCAGTACAGTCAGGGGTTGTCCGGCGAGGAAGCATGTCGAAAGGGCGACCGACGACCCGGCGATGCTGATCGTAACTTACGAAGGCGAGCACCGGCACACCACCACTCAGGGCGGCGCGATGCAGGAGATTCCGGCCGCCGGAGTTGCTGCTCCCGGCCAGTTAGTGGTGTTTGAGTCGTCGTGAGAAAAGAAAGGGGTTCTTTTTGTAATTTTTATGTAGTTGGAGGGGCTGTTCGAAAGAAATTGTGGAAACTCGTAGGAAGTGGGTTTTTAGAAAATGTGGGGGGTTTTATGTAAATTTGGTAGGAGTAGAGGACAGATTCAGCAAAAACGAAAAAAGTGTTTAATTTCGATAATATTTTTAGTTGACATTAATTATTAGTTTATTGGATGACTTTTCCTATATCTCGCATTGGATTCTTGTGTTTGGATTTTTTTAATATTTATATTTTTTTTATTGAATAGAATAAAGAATTAAAAAAAGGAAAAAAAAAAAGACGTCTTTTGAGAAAGTCAAAAAGATTGGAATTTGGAAACAGCTGCACATCACATATATATAGAGCTTTGGTGCCAATATGTTGCTGCCTTTGACCGGCATCTCTCTCATAGTCAAAGATTAATTAAAATTACAATTACCTCATTTATTATCATTATTATTAATATTATTATTTTATTTTTTTTTAACCAAAATTTTTTTGTGATCAATTGAATTTTGGACTAATAAAAATTTTGTGAGGTTTAGAATTCAGAACGTGGGGCAGTTGAGTCATAAGTAAGAGTATGTGTTTTATGAGTCAAACCTATATGAACTACTTCACAACTAACCATTTAGGCATTTACTCAATATCGAGGGTGGAAATCGAACGAATCAGGTTTCGATTTCGATTTTGGTTTGGTTTCGATTTGAAATTAATCCCGATGTTTTGATTGTAATTTCATCAGGTGTACTTGTGTAGTATCAAATAAACCATCAATCAGTACTATTGAAGTGTAACTAAATTGCTTATAAGTTGCAAATAATATAAATAAATAATATGAAAAAAAACTATTTATTTTCAACACAAAATTGTAGTAAAAGACTAAAATCCAAACTTGAATGATAGATATGTTGCTCCAATTTTGACATATTCAGAAAGTTTGGACTAATTTAGTGCATTACATGTTTTGTTGACCATGAAACGTGTCTTGGTGGGCTGCAAAATCATTCAAAAATACCCATTAAAAGTCTCCTCATACTTAAAAGTCAAATTAATTGATATGGAAAATTATTGTGCATTCATACTCCATATACTTATATTATAGATACATTCTAGATAAATGATTGACACTTACTCATGAAAATATTTACCATAGTTACCTAATTGTCGATGTAAGAACATATTCTACACACATTTTTTTTTTCTCTCCAAAATATATGTATTCTAGAACATATTCTCTATGTTTATTTATAATTTGAGAGGAAACAAAATAAATTGTAGCATGCAAATCATGTTTAAATGTATTGGAAAAAATGTACGTTAAAAGAAGAATTTAAAAGATAAAGTGGTGTTTGTTTAGTTTTTAGTGAAGACATTTTTTTACGGCAGCAATCAAGTCTGGACGAGAGAGAAACTTTCGACATTGTCGTGAGAATGATTTTTTTTTTAAAGTGTAACAATCACGAATTCGTTTCCTGGAAACAAAACCAAACATTGCGGAACTGACTATTTCTAGTTGACCATGTCATATTTCATCTTGGGCTTGAGCTACTATTGTAAAAAACATATTTAAGTGCAAAGCCCAAACAAACAACTACATAAGTTTAACTAATATTGTGTTTGGGCTACTATTGTGCCTTCTACAATCAACACCACTTTTAATTTACTTGAAAGGGTCTATTTGGATAAAATATATAATATATTTTATAGGGAAAATGAGGGATAACCCCCTCAATACACAAAATAATAGAGTCCAGGCCCATTTTAATATTTACCATTTGTAAAGAAATCTAAAATTAACATTAGGAATTGTGAGACCCCCTCACGTGTTTATTATTCTAATTTTGTCCTTTCTTCCCCCACTCTTTCTCTCTCTCCCCCCTCTCTTCTCAACCGTCCTTTTTGACGTGTTGTCATTTATTATTTTTTTTCTCTCCCCTCTCTCCTCTCTTCTCTCTCTTCCACAATTTTCTCTCTTCTCTCTCCTCTCTCCTCTATTCTCTCTCTTCTCTCTCTTTCACAATTTCCTCTCTTCTCTCTCCTCTCTCCTATCTTCTCTCTATTCTCTCTCTTCCACAATTTTTCCTCTCTTCTCTCTCCTCTCTCTCTTCTCTCTCTCCTTTCTCTTTCCTCATTTCCTCTATTCTCGTCTGTTTAATTTTTTCTCTTTAGTTTCTCTATATCTTCTCAATACTTTATCTTTTCTTCTACATCTCATCTCATTTTATAACACCATAGTATCTTAAATTGAAATATAATATAGTGAATTAATGGAAAACTATAGTTGATTACCAATTTTTTATAGTTGACATCGGAACAATTGTAGTTGACTATCCATTTTTTGTAGAACTCTGGCAACAATATAGTTAACTACCAATTTTTTATAGTTGACATCGTAAAAATTATAGTTAACTATCTAATTTTTATAGTTGACTCTGGAAAAAATATAGTGAACTATCCGATTTTATAGTTAACTCTGAGTGTATGACCGTAATTTTTTAAGTTTTTCGACAACAATGATCTCTTCTTTGTTGTGGACTCTGATAAAACAAATTTCATACGAAACAAATATTTATGAGTCAACAAATAGTGCGACCATAGATATGTAGATCTAAAAAACAAGCTTGTTTACAAACTCCATTTTTGAATAATCAACCATTTTTGCAGTCTTCATAGTCGCTGAAATTGAAAACAAAAAAAAAATGGAAATATGTCGTATTATGACATAAAACAGAGAAATCTAATTATATGTTGTAGGAAAAACGGATTTCATAGCAGCCTACATTTATTCGATTTTTTTGATTTCACCATGTTTTTGTGTCTGCTTCTCCTCGATTCACACGTTTGTGAATTTTTTTCCAACAAATGAAGAAAATTAGGGTTCCACCGAAGGCCATAGATCATGGGCAGATTTTAGCAAATTATTGGGATGATATTCTACATATTGCCGTGATTTAGGGGGGAGAGATTTTTTTTCAATGAATATTTGATATGAATCCCGTGGTTTAGGTAGAGATGGTGGGGGGGGCTGATTTCTAATACAAAATGTGAGGGTAGTATTGATATGACACTAATGGAGGGGGTTTGACTTATTAAAAATAATGAGGGGTGGTTAGTTCTAATATTTTTCTTAATGAGGGGGTTTTGTCTCATTAACCCTATTTTATAACCTTATTAGAATATAAATTATAATATAAAAAAGGGATAATTAGTGAAAACCCCCCACCACATTAGGATATATTAGGATGGATTTACACCCTTTTTCAATATTAGTGAGACCCCCTTTCATGATTTATTTAAATTAATATTAATATAATTATCAAATGTTATACCTATATTACCCCGTAATTGTCAGATGTTATAATCACAAACCCTAGCCTCAAAATTTATATTCAACCGCCGTTCTATTATTCTTTCATTTTTTTCTCTTCTTTTCTGGGACTGGAAATTCATGGCGATGGAGGCGACGATGAAGGCGGCGACGAAGGCGACGACACATCTCGACAATGACGAGGAAAGACCCTGCAACCGTTGTTGCGGCAGCTACTGGTCGTCGATGCTCTCAGGGAAGTCCGATGAAGATAGAGAGGAGCTTTTCGACAGAATGCTCACCCGATTGGCACTATGCGAAGACTCAAAACTCCAGGACTTGCTCGCTAAGATTCTTCCCCTCTCCATTGCCGCCCTCTCATCTGCCTCCACTTCTCTCCGCAATAAAGTAATTTACCCCCCAAAACCAAGTTCAGATCTGGTGCCGTTTAATTCAAGCAAAAAGTTTATATTTTATTTTTGTTTATTGTGATTTTCTTTATATCATTTTTGCTATGATGTTTTTAAATTTTGTTTATACTTGTTTCCGTTACTTTGTAGTTGATTTCGGGTTTTGCTATTTTTATTGTTTTGAAATTATTGTCGAGAAGTGTACAGTAGCTTTCAATAGTTTTATAATTGTTTTCGATTTTTTGTGTTGATTTACACAATTTATAGTTGTTTACCATTTCTTTTATAGCTGATTTCGTTCATTTGTAGTTGTTTTTATTTTTTGTAAATTTGTTATTTGTAAATCACCGTGTTTTATATAGTTGTTTTATAGTTTTCTAATAGTTGATTATGGCGAAAAAAAACGAACAGTTGAAAAAAATAGTTATTTTGTAATAGTTGTTTTACAATTTATAGTTGTTTTTTATTAAAAAATGGTAAAAAAATAGTTGTTTTGTAATAGTTGTTTTACAATTTATAGTTGTTTTTTATTAAAAAATGGCAAAAAATAGTTGTTTTTCTTGAAAAAATGCCAAAAATAACTGAAAATTAAAATTAAGAAAAATGAAATAAAAAAATTGAAATTATAGTCGATTTCAGAAATATTATAGTTGGTTTCAGAATCTTTATAGTTGATTCCGAACAAAAAAAGGGAAATTAAAAAAATAAAATAAAATAAAAATTATTTTTAGTTAAAAAATTAAAAGAAAAATATTTTTTAAAGCTATTATTGTTAGTTTTTTATTAAAATAATAAAAAAAACCGAAAAATTAAATTTATTTAAATTATATATTAAAAAAATTAGAGTTTGCGATTGTAGGGATATCAAATTTCTGAATTTTATGTGTGTCTTCTAGAAGGCTATTTTCGGGAACCATTAAAATAGTGGGTTTTCCACTAATATTGAAAATATGGCTGGATCCCCCCTTATTAAAAAAACACTAGAGGGGGTTATGGCTAATAGTCCCTATAAAAAAAAGAATAATATTTAAACAAATTTGTTAGATTCTAATAATTTCAACACACTGTCTTAATTTGATAACAACACTTCATGACTTTGTACAGGTTTGCAAAAGCTGTCTGCATTATTTCTCAATGAACAAAGAAGGACCACTTTGGCAAATTAGTAAAGAATAATTCTTTTTTTAGGAAAGTAATTAGTAAATACATTATTCATTTTGTTCAAAATAAGAATCCATATGTAAATTAATTTCCAGCTAAATTAATAAATGTCAAATATCTACTTGTATTAAATGTTGCACTATTTGATGTATGTTTGTAAAATAAAAACAAATATTAATAGTTATTTTTTTCATTTTAGAAAATAAATCAAATATTAGTTACATTTGTAATTCGGAGGCATAGAGAAAATAATACTCCCTCATACTATGCACGCGCAGGGGTGGAAATTGGAACGGAATTTTTTATTTCCGCCAATTGATCGGAAATTTTCTAATTTCGGAACAATATTTTTTAATCCAAATTTTGAATTCCATGTTTTGATTTTTCCGAAATTATCTGTATCGGGATTGGAATATATATGAGATTCCGATTTTCGTTCCGATTTTAAGTTTCGCAAAGAATCTGAAAATTCCAAAAAAAAAAATGCCGAATATTACACTAAAAATATCAATATTATTGTTATTGTGTAATTTATACTTTAGGTGACCAAAAAATAGAAATTTACGAATTTCAGAGATTCCAGTCCGGAATTTTCCGATTTTTGGAACAAGTTTTTTTATTCCGAAATTCCGATTCCGATTTTTTTTTGAAACGGAATTGAACTAGTTTTTCACTTCCGAATCAAATCAATTTTTTTTCTTCCCAAAAGTGCTTATTCCAATCCGATCTGTCCGATTTACACCATTCTGCACCGGCACACAAATATTCTATTAATTTACCAAAATATTAAATTATCGAAATAATAATTTAATATATTTTCATCAAGTCGATCTAGAGAAATTATAATTCAAACAAAGTTATTAATTTAGCGTTTTAATAAAATTATAATTCAAACAAAGTTATTAATTTAGCGTTTTAATAATTTATAAACGTTCTAGTGTACTTTTTCTTTATCTCAATTGTGACTTTTGATTCTCAAATATTCGTCTTTATTGAATAAATAAATTAGGAAAAAAGGGTAATAAAAAGCTAAAAGGACAGAAATAATTAAAAAAAAAAAAAAAAAGCAGAGAAAAAGTAGAAGAAAACAAAACAAGGAAAAGCAAATTACAGTGTGAAAGCACTTTGGCACGATCCATCGTTCCTTGAGCGTAACACTGTCTCCCCCAAAAGCCTTCTTCTTTTTGCAGTTCCCGATTTAGGGTTCTTCTCTCTCTTCTCTCTCTCTCTCTCTCTCTCTCTCTCTCTCTCTCTACACACACACACACGCACAAAACACTCACATTTTGCATCATCATTCAAGCTTTATCAGAACGGAGTTATGTACTGACTTCTTAAAACCGATCTCCTTTAATAACAGATTCTCAGTGAGTTGCTTTTTCTCTCTGTTAATTTTTTTCAGAACTCAATTTTCATTTTAAAATACAGGAATTGAGTGAATTTTGCCCAGTTTTGTAGAAGAAAGTGTTGAATTTTAAAAAACTCATTCATGGTGGTAATTTTCTATTCAATTTTTGAATGAAATAATCGGATTTCAGTAGCTTTTTGCCCTTCCATCACCCGAAAATGGATAAAGGCATCGAAAATTTAATCTCTGCTAGAAACTTGTTGAAAGCTAGTGTAGAGAAATCGAAAGCTTTATCCCTCTCTCTAGAAAAATCCGGCCCTAGATTAACCGAAATACACCAAAGATTACCTTCATTAGAAGTTGCCATTCGCCCTATACGAGCCGAACGAGAAGCCCTGAACGCGGTCGGCGGCCACATTAACAGAGCCGTGGTCCCCGCAGCTGCTGTTCTCAAGGTGTTCGATGCAATTCACGGCCTCGAAAAATCGCTTTCCGATCCGCTACACGACCTCCCAGGTTACCTCGGTGTGCTCAAACGCCTCCAAGAGGCGTTGAGATTCTTGGGAGACAATTGTGGTATGGCGATTCAGTGGTTGGCCGATATAGTCGAGTATTTGGAAGATCATAAAGTGGCGGACGAGTGGTTTATTTCCGGTTTAAAGAATGCGTTGAATAATCTTCGGGAATTGGAGAAAGGTGAAGAAAAGGGTTTTCTTGATGGTGGGCTATTTGAATCTGCGTTGGATAGATTGGAGAGCGAGTTTAAACGGTTGCTGACAGAGAATAGTGTTCCTTTACCTATGTCATCTCCGACTTTGCCTGGTGAAAACCCTTGTATTGCTCCGTCGCCTTTGCCCATGGCGGTTATTCAGAAATTGCAAACGATTTTATCGAGTTTAATTGCTAATGGCAGGCTCGAAAAGTGTGTTTCGATTTACATCGAGGTGCGAAGCTCGACTGTGAGGGCTAGTTTGCAAGCTCTGGATTTGGATTATCTTGAAATATCGGTTTCCGAATTCAATAATGTCGCGAGCATCGAGGCTTATATTTCTCAGTGGGGTAAACATTTAGAATTTGCTGTGAAGCACTTGTTTGAAGCTGAGTATGGATTATGTAACAGCGTGTTCGATAAAATGGGAATCGATTTGTGGAAGAGCTGTTTCGGTAAAATAGCTGCTCAGGCGGGAATTCTTGCTTTCTTGCAATTTGGCAAAACGGTCACCGAAAGTAAGAAAGATCCGATCAAGCTATTGAAGCTGATGGACATATTTGCGTCGTTGAGTAATTTACGATTGGATTTCAATCGGCTATTCGGTGGGGCCCCCTGTGCCGAAATTCAAAATCTTACTCGGGATTTGATCAAGAGGGTGATTGAAGGTGCGTGCGAAATTTTCTGGGAGCTTTTGCTTCAAGTCGAGCTGCAAAGGCATAATCCACCACCTTTCGATTGTAGTATTCCTAGGGTCGTATCTTTTATTACGGATTATTGTAATAAGCTTCTTGGGGAGGACTACAAGCCGATTTTGACGCAAATATTGGTTATCGAGAGAAGTTGGAAAAACGAGAAATTTAAAGAGGGGATTCTTATCGACGAGCTTTTGAATCTAGTTAAAGCGATTGAGTTGAATTTGGAGAAGTGGGCGAAGGGTTACGAAGATGCTGCTTCTTCGTACTTGTTCTTGATGAGCAATCACTGGCATTTGTATAAGTATTTGAAAGGGACGAAGCTCGGTTTTCTTTTGGGTGATTCTTGGCTTAAAGAACATGAACAGTACAAGGAGTATTATTCGACGATATATGTAAGAGAGAGCTGGGGGCGGCTGCCCCCACTTTTGAGCAGGGAAGGTTTGATTTTGTTCTCCGGTGGGCGAGGAACTGCTCGTAATTTGGTGAAGCAGAGATTGAAATCTTTTAATGAGGCTTTTGATGACATGTATAAGAAGCAAGGTAGTTTGGTAATTATGGAAAAAGATTTACGGGAGAAGGTAATTGGGGTTGTTGTTCAGACGATTGTGCCCGTTTATCGGAGCTACATGCAGAATTACGGGGCGTTGGTCGAGCAAGATCAGAAATATGCCAAGTACACCGCACAGTCGTTGGAGAAAATGTTGAGCTCTCTTTTTCAACCGAAGGCTGTGAAAAGCGGGGGTTTAAAGGCGAAGTAATAATCGCCGTTCGAAAATTAATTCTCTGTATATATTCTGAAAGACGAATAATAGAGAGAGATATTTAGAGGGAATTTATATAATTTATATATATATTCATTGATAACATGTATGTATCTTCTTCATAAATGTTGTAGCTGCCTGTTGGGAATTCTTTTGGGAATAATGTCATCCTTCTTTCTTTATTAGCTATTGTTTCTGTGTTCATTTGTTTATGCATTTTACATAATATACATTATATTATATTATATTAATATTTTATTTATATATATATTTATAAAATATAGATATATATATTCTTCAATCTTCATATTTGTATATATATATCATATATGTATATTATGTAAAATGCATTACACACACACACACACACACACACACACACACACACACCCACACACCCACACACACACACATATATATATATATATATATATATATATATATATATATATATATATATATATATATATATATATATATATATATATATATATATATATAGATATATATATATATATATATATATATATATATATATATATATATATATATATATATATATATATATATATATATATATATATATATATATATATATATATCACAAGTCTTTTTTACACGCCTTGTATACTTGTGTGACGGTATAGTCTAGAATCCTTGTTAGTTAACGTTTCAATCTTTATTGCTCTTACA